CACTTTCCTTTTTCCCCCTTTTCTCCACCATTTTGAGACAATGCTCACTTCGTAACAGAGAGTAACAATAACACTTACCTATTAAAACGCTGCGCATGTGATTTAATCTCTTCCTTATCTAAAAAATGGGGACATAAACACCTACCTTTACCTTCTAAGGTCTCCAAGCTTTTTCTTTGGAATTTTAGATTCAATGACGAATTACATAGATAGTACAAGAGTTCCTGTATGCCCTTCACCCAGCTTCCTTTAATGTTAACATCTTACATAACCACAGTATTTTTTTTTTTTTTAAACACCATGCGTACAATACTAGTAATTATTCTATAGACTTTATTTACATTTCAACAGTTTTTTCACTAATGTCATTTTTCTCTTCTAGGATCCAAACTAGAATACCATCTTGCATTTAGTCATTGTATCTTCTTAGTCTCCTCCAATCAGTGACAGTTTCTCAGTCTTTCCTTGTATTTCTTGATGTTGACACCTTGAAGAGCAGTGGTTAGGTATTTTGTAGGACGTCCCTTGATCGCATTGCCTGATGTTTTCTCATGATTTGACTGGGATTATACAATTTTGGGAAGATTGCCACAGAGATGAAGCACCCTTCTTACCACATCATATTAGTGGGTACACAATAACAATGTGATTTATCACTGGTGATATTATCCTTGATCACTTGGTTCAGGTGGTGTCTGCCAAGTTCTTCCACTCTAAAGTTATTATTTTCCCCTTTCTATACACTATTTGTTAGAAGCAAGTCACTAAGTCACACCAACACATAAAGGGAAAGGAATTCAGCTCTACTTCTTGAAAGGAGAGTATCTACATTTATTAGTTAGAATTCTTCTGTGACAAAGGTTTGTCCCTTCTCCCCCATTCATTCATTCAGTCATTTACATTGGTGTATTTATTTTATTCTTTGCGTTATAATCTAATACTATTTGTTATTATAATTTTGTTGTTCAAATTGTTCCAGCTTTGGTCACTAAGAGCTCTACTGAGTTGACCCCAGTGTCCTTCCCCACCCGCTTAGCACTTCTTTACTTTCTGGTATTGAAAGATGCTCCAAGCTCATCATGTATTCTTCCTGCCTCAGTCCTAGACTCAGTCATTTCTCTTAGAAGCGCTGGTTCCTTTTATTGGAGAATGGTATTTAGAAATTAAGACGTGGGTGCTAGATGTGCTTGTTGCTACTGGAATAGCAGTGCTTCTAGCCCTCTTACCAGACACACACATACCAACACATATATAAAAACATATCTATTTCTGTATCTATCTGTATATACATTAAACATGACTACATATGGGTATCTTAGACTATAATCTTGCACCACAGGTTTCATTTTTATACCTATTTATATCTTCTTTCCCAAACAGAACCTGTCTCCCATTATCTAGAATTTTTTTTGTTAGCAAAGAGTACAATGCTTCTGCACCATTCTTTTAGTGTGTAGCTATGCTATTAAGTCAAAACACTGTTTTTCAATGTTACTTTAGTTAGCTCCTTTTCTTCCACTCCCTTCAGTGAGGTTACATCATACATTTGTGATAAAGTAAAGATCCATTTTTCACAGGCTACATTCCATCCTGGGATCCTCTGATACGTGGGTTCATTCTTTTTTTATATTACATAAAGTTCACAGTTCTACGGACACTGACAAATGCACAGTCCTGTATCTACTACAATGGTACCATACAGATCAGCTCTATCACCTCCAAAATTCCCTTATATGACCTTTGTAACCAACTACTTACCACCCATTGACAACCACTGATAAGTTTCCCATCCCTCTACTTTTGATCTTCCATACCGTCACATAAATGAATCATACAATATGGAACCTTTTGGGTCTTGACTTCTTTCACTTAGCAAAGTTTATTTAAAATTCATACATGTTGTTGTGTGACTAGTGTCCTTCTTTTTATCGCCGAGTAATATCCCATTATATGAATATACCACAGTTAGTTTATTCACTCACCTTTTGAAGGACATCTTGGTTGTTTCCAGTTTTTGATAGCTATGAGTAAACATTAGCATGCAGGTTTTTCTCTGAACATGTATTTTTTAACTCACTTGGGTAAATATCTGGGTGTGTGTCAGTGCTGGATCACGTGGTAAGTATATGTTTTACTTTATAAGCAACTGACAAACTGTTTTCCAAAGGGGATGTACAGTTTTGCATTCCCATCAGCAGCAGTGAATAAAAGCTCCTGCTGCTCTGCGTCCTCACCACGAAGTACCTGTCAGTTTTAAAACATGTTTTATTTTAGCCAACCTAACAGATATCTCAAGCAAAAAAGAAAACAGTTGCCACTGAGTCAATTCCGACTCATGGCAACACCATGAGTATCAGAGTAGAACTGTCTTCCTTAAGGTTTTCGATGACTGATTTTTTGGAAGTAGACCACCAGGACTTTCTTCCAAGGTGTCTGTGGGTAGATTTGAACTTCTAATCTTTTGGTCAGCAGCTGAACGTATTAACCATTTGCACCACCCAGGGACTCCACTGGTAGCTCACTGGGGTTTTAATTTGCCTTCTCCTATGATTAATGATATGGAGCATATTTTCTTTTCTAATAACATTTTATTGTGTTTTTGGTGAAGATTTACACAGAAATTTAGGTTCCCATTCAACAATTTCTACACAAGTTGTTCAGTGACATTAGTTACATTCTTCACAATGTGTAAACTTTCTTATTATTTCCATTCTGGTCATTCCATTCCCATTAATTTAGCTTCGCTGCCTCCTTTCATTCTCATTCTTATTAATTGTTGACCATTTGGTCTCATACAGGTGATTTTTTAAAGGAACACAGCATTTTTGGGTGATATTCATTACATTTTGAGCCAATTTGTTATTTAGCTACAAGGTGACCTCGTAGCTAGTTTTATCAAGGTTTGAAGAGTTTATCAACGACAATAGTCTCAGGGAGTCCTCGAATCTCAACCAGTCCAGCAGGTCTGGGTTTTTTTTTTTTTTTGGTACAAATTTGAGGTTCAGTTCCACATTTTTATCCCATTCTATGAAAGTCCATTTATTGTGGCCCTTATTAGAACGGTCAGGTAGTGGTAGCTGGGCACCACCTAGTTCTTCTGGTATCAGGATAGATGAGGCTGTGGTTCACATATTTTTGGCCTCCCTCTGTGATGTATTATCCTTTGCGTGCTATGCTTATTTTTTTACAGTAACACGTAAAAAAAAATTAACATAACACACTTAAGAAATACCTTACAGGAAGGAGGACTCTGCTGGCAAAAAAAAAAAAACCCATACCTAATGCACACGTTATTTGCCCTGTAGACTAGTTTCTTCTTTGAGTCTTTGGTTTTCTTGTTTCTCTTCTGCTCTAACTAGAGATCAACAGTTGTATCTCAGATGGCTGCCCGCAAGTGTGGAACATATTTTCATATGCTTATTGCCATCTGCATATTTTCTTTCATAAACTGTGTTTGGATCTCTTCTCCATTTTTTAAAAAAATTCAGTTGTTTTCTTGTTGAATTTTAAGAGTTCTTTGTATTTCTTGGTACAAGTCCTTTATTGGATATGTGACTTACAAATATTTTCTCCCAGACTGTGCTCTGTCTTTTCATTGTCTTAACACTGTCTTTCGTAGAGCAGAAATTTTTAATTTTAACGAAGTTCAATTTATCAATTTTTTCTTTTATAGACTGTGCTTTTGATGTATATAAAAACTCATCAACAAATACAAGGTAAATGTAGACTTTCGCTCACGTTTCCTACAGAAGCTTTATACTTCTGTGTTTTGCATTTTGTTCTATGATCCATTTTGGTTAATCTTTGGTTAATTAGGTATATGTAAAGCTTCTTTTTTTGCGTATTGATGTCCAATTTTCCTAGCACTGTTTCTTGATAAGAATATCATTTTTCCATTGAATTGCTTTTCAGTTGGCTATATTTGTATGGGTCTACTTCTGAGCTCTCTATTCTGTTCCATTGATCTATGCGTCTAACTTCCCATCAGTACTGCTTAATCTTGATTACTGTAACTTTACAGTAAGTTTTAAAATCATATAATGTAAGGCACCCACTTGTTCTTTTTCAGAATTACTTGAGCTTTTCTGGTTCCTTTGCCTCTAAGATAAATTATAGGATTCAGCTTCGTACTGTCTACAAGAATGCTTGCAGAAATTTTATGATAAATCTATAGATCAAATCAGGAAGAAATGACATCTTAACAATATTATGTCTTTTAATCCATGAACACAGTATATCTCTCCATTTATTTAGATCTTTAATTTCCTTCAAGTAGTTTTCAACATACAGATCTTACTTTACTAGATTTATTATTTCAGTTTTATTGTTTGTTTGGAGGTATTGTAAATAATATATGTATTTTCTTTACAATTTCAAATTCCAGTCGTTCATTGTCAATATATAAAATCAACAGACTGTCATGTAGTGACCTTGTATACTGTGACCTGCTAAGCTCTAGCAGTTTTTTCAGATTACATTTTCTACACAGATAATCAGTATGTTGTCTGTGAGTCTCATTGTCACTAAGCCATTGTGTTTAAAATAAAATGACAAAATACCATTTTAAATAATGTAATTTTAGAATATATCTATTATACACCAAATGATGATCTGTTGGTCTACTGATATTTTAAAAATGGGTGAGAATTAGATACCAAAATACCTGTTTTATATTTGTTAGAAGCAAACAATAAGATACAGGATTGGCAATAAAAAAATAAGCTCCAAGGGCAAACAGCAGTGAAACTAATTAGAAATGAGGGTCTCATTTTGAAACCGATTCTCAGAAGCAAAGTTGTAATTCACGGAATAGCTTTGGCATAAATGCGTGAAGGGAAAGAACAGCTGGCTTCCTATTGGGTCTTTTCAGTCATACATGAAGACGAACATCAAACTTCCACCAATTTTGACTTTGCTGATAAGCTGATTTTAAGACTGCATTCATAGTCTCTTATGTTGCTCAATGATGAAGTATTTCCTTTAAGGAACAAATCACTCACCAGTAAGCAGGCTGGGATAAAACCTTCATCTGTACAGTGTTCTGCATATTCTTTTAAATTTGAACTTTCCAAAATAAAAGTCTGGCAGGTAGAAGTGAGGTTTTCTTGTTGTAAGTAACCTAAATGAAAAATAAAAATTTAGGAACTTTCAGTCAACTCTACACGTTCTGTAAAATTGCTGCTGAAAACCCTAGAGCAGTTACCAATTTCATGGACAGAGTCTTAGGTGAAAGTGCTGTTACTATGTAGCCTTGCCCAGAACCACCAGGTTGTGTTGCAGTACAGAGTGGAATTTATAGAATAACGGCCCCTTGAAAGGAAACAACTAGAAAAATAAGGTGCTTGACAAAGTGCAACTACTTCGCAGTAATGCTTTCAGAAACTAGTCTTTAATGGTTAATAATACTGATTACAAATAATACTGACTAGGTTAATAAATGGTGTTCTTTCACTTACTGGATAATCAAAAAACTATATTCTCCCAACGTGGCCATTTATTTGTAAACTTCACCTATCTGCCTAACAGTTTGAGGAAAAAAAAAAAATGAACAGAAGACCTACTTTGCATGCAAGGTAAAAAAGGAACTCCTTTTGTAATTTTTAACTTATGTCCTTCAGGAATCAAAGCCCTACTATTTCAATAAGAACTTAACATTCACGTCTAAAGAATACTTGTAAGTGATGTTATGTATCAGTGCTTGGTACTTTCACACATATGAATGCTTTATTTGTCCAGACAGCCTATTCTTGTTCCTGTGTTTCTTAGGATTACTGGAGTTTAACCACAATATTAAAAATAGTAGTATAATATAAAAAGAGCCCTCGATAGGACACCAGGAGGCCAGAATCTTATTCTATCGGTTAAAATAATAGGACGATGGAAAAAAATTACTTGAATTCTTCAGGACTCAGTTTCCTCACCCATAAAGCATCAGACTCGCCTTGACTTGTGGAGCAAATCTGGTCATATTACTCCCTTGCACAGAGCCCTTCTATCACCTCCCACAGATCTCAGTTTGAACTCCTAAAATTTTGAGTGACATCACGGGTAATGACATAGTAACGAACTCTGAAAATCCTCTCTTTTACATTATGAGAACACTGGCAAAAATGATCAAAATCAACCTTTTCAGAATTTTAGAAATTAAAGGCTTGTAACAATTTGGGGAGCATTCATTCAAGAAAAACAGATCAACCTTGGTAAGAACAGTGATCTCTGTGGCATTTTAACTGTCTCTATTCCCATGCCCCTCTCCTCAGCTGAGTGGTAGCTCTTAAAACAAATAACCTGCAATCGTGGTAAAAGCCACCCAGACTAGCAGCCACTGGAGGGGTCAGATGGTGTCGGAACTTTTTCAAAGTCCTATTCGCAGAGAACTGTCGTTATCTGACCTGTGTGGCAGTTCCCTAGAATAACACATTTGCATAGATTATCTTTATTTGATCTGAATCAGAGGTCACGTACTTCCATGGGGGGTGGGGGTGGGGGGGTGGGGGTGGTTGTTTGCTGAAAACAATCAGCAACAATTAACACTTCAGCTGCATGAGGCGGACTTTTGGGGAAAACAACAAGCTAACCGAAAAACTTAAAAGGAGAAGCTACGGAATGAGATGTCCATAGCTTTGGACATACACTTTGAAAGACGGGTTTTTAAAAAAGCTCTGACATAGCACTAGGATACTACAAGGCTACATGCATGTGTAGGGCTGTGTACATGCTTAGGCCCTAAGGTCTCATCTATGGCTGACATTAAGTTGTCAGTTGCCTGGTTGAGTGCTGAAGGCATGCCCCAATACACACACAGATCCCCTTGACAAATACTAGGAGACTTACTGATTCAGGCATTTAAGGAAATCAATGTCCAATCACTAGCTGACCACTAAGCTAGCCAAGCAGCGGCTTTAGTAGCCACCATGACAAAGAATACAGACTTTATGGCATTAGTTCAGGAAACTCATTATACAAACAGAAATAGCAATAGCAACAACAAACCCTGTGAAGGGAGAAGAATCTGATTTCCAGAGCTGCCCCATTATACTACTTACAATGTACAAGCAGCAAGAAAAAATAATGACACATGCAGAGAAACAAGTATGGCCCATACACAGTAGAGAAGAAAAAGAAAAAAAAGCAGTCAATAGAAAGTGTCCCTGAGAAGCCTAGACATTGGACTTACTAGACAAAGCCTTTAAATTACCTATTTTAAATATTTTTAAAGAACTAAAAGAAACCATGCCTAAAGAACTAAAGGAAATTATGAGAACAATGTCTTGCCAAACAGAGAATTTAAAAAAAAAAAAAAAAGAAAGAAACAGGACTGATAAAAAAGAACTAAGTAGAACTTCTGGAGGTGCAAAATACAGTAATGGAAATAAAAAATTCACTAGAGGGGCCTGACAGCAGATTTGAAGAGAGAGAAGAATCAGTAAACTTAAAAGCAGGTCAACTGAGATTGTCCAGTCTGAGGAACAGAAAAAGGAACAAAGAAAGGTGAACAGAGCCTCAGAGAGCTGTGGAACACCATCAGGTATAAGCATAAAAGGAGTCTCAAATGGAAAGGAGAGACAGAAAAGGGCAGAAAGACTATGTGAATAAGCAAGGCCTGAAAAATTCTCATATTTGATGGAAAACATTAATCTGCACATCCAAGGAGCTCGGTGAACTCAAGCAGGATAAATTCAAAAGGGTCCATACCTAGATAAATCATAATCAAACTGTCAAATGACAAAGAAAGAATCCTGAAAGCAGAAAGAAAAAACGACTCATCCTGTACAAGGAATTAACACCTCAAGATTAACAGCTGGCTGCCCATCACTAACCATGGAGGCTAGAGGTAGGCAGATGACATTCAAATTAGTGGGGAAAAACAACAACAACAAAAACAAAACCCCACATCAACCAAGAATTCTATATCTAGTAAAATTTTCCTTCAAAAGTGAAGAAATCAAGACATTGCCAACCATGCAAAAATTGAGGGAATTTGTTGCTAGCAGACCTGCCCTACAAGAAACACTAAAGAAAGATCTTCAGGCTGAAGTGAAAAGACACTAGACAGTAAACTCAAATCCCCATGAAGAAATGATGAGTATCGGTCAATGTAACGAAACAGGTAAATTTAATAGTATAACTTTTTTCTTTGTAACAATTCTTTTCTCCTCTCTGCTTTAAAAGAAAAATGCATAAAGCAATAATTATAAATCTGTTTTGATAGACATACAATGTATAAAAATGTAATTTCTGTAAAACAACAACAAAAAACAAAGGAGAAGAGGGGGAAAGGAGCTATATAGGAGCAAAGCTTTTATATGCTATTAAAATTAAACTGGTATTAATCCAAACTAGACTGCTATAAAATATTATTTGTAATCTCAGTAATAACTCAAAAAATAAAAAAAAAAAGACATGAAAATGGAATTAAAATATTAACTAGTAAACATCCATCACAAAAGAAGGCAGTAATAGAGAAATAGAAGAAAAAAATAAAATATACGGAAAATAGCTAGAGGAAGACATCAATCTTTATCAGTAAGTACTTTAAATGTTAACTAAACATTCCAGTCAAAAGGCAGAGATTGGCAGATGTATAAAAAACACAATCCAATTATATGCTGCTGACAAAAGACCCTCGATTCAAAGACACAAACAGGTTGAAAGAAAAAGGATAGGAAAATATAGACAATGCAAGCAGTCACCAAAAGTGCTGAAGACATTATACTAATATCAGACAAAATAGAATTTAGGCATAAATTGTTACTGGAGACAAAGATAATGATAAACAGCTAATCCATCAAAAAGATGTAACCATTACAAATATGCATGCACCTAACAACAGAGCTCCAAAACCCATGAGGCAAAAATGGACAGAAGGGATGGGAGAAATGGACAATTAAATAAAAATTGAAGACTTCAATATCCCCAGTTCAATGATAGATAGAACCAGACAGATGATCAATAAGGAAACAAAAGGCTTAAACAACACTGTAAATCAACTAGATCTAACAAACGACACTTCACCCAACAACAGAATATGTATTTTTCTAAAATATACATAGAACATTCTCCAGGATAGACCATATACCAGAACATAAAATAAGTCTTCTCAATACATTTAAAAGGATTGAATTATACAAAGTATGCTCTCCAATCCCAATGAAATGAAATTTTGGAAATTCACAAATATATGCAAATTAAACATATTACTAAACAACTAACAGGTCAAAAGAGATATTAGATAATACCTTGAGATGAACGAAAACAAAAATATAATGTATCAAAACGTACAGGATGCAGCAAAAACAGCACTTAGAGGGAAACATAGCTATAAATACCTACATTTAAAAAGATGAAAGATTTTAAATCAATAACCTACCCTTCCACCTTAAGAAACTAAAATAGGAAGAGCAAACGAAACCTACAGCAAGCAAAAGGAAACAATAAGTATCACAGTAGAAAAAAAAAATGAACTAAGAGAATAGAAAGACAGAAGAGAAAGTCTAAGAAACCAAAGCCAACTGATTTTTGATAAGGGTGCCAAAACAACCCAATGGGTTAAGAATTGTCTTTTCAACAAGTGGTTCTGGGACAAGTGGATATCCATATGCAAAAGAATGAAAGTGGAAACCTACCTCACACCATATACAAAAAATAACTCAAAATGAACCAAAGACCTAAATGTAAGAGCTAAAACCATCTAACTCCAGCCCCTGCTAACTACTGCTATAAAGAGAAACAAACATACAAATCAAAAACCAAAAACATTGTGCTTTGGATCATGGGAAAGTACTTAGGAACATGAAGAAAGCTTTTATCTCAGATACTCCCATCTCATATACTCCCATTCAATATTCCCATCATTGAAGATGACACATTAGCTGTAAATTTAATAAAAAATAAATTGCTATTTTTCCTTCATATTTTTGTGAAACTACAGTCAGCTGAAATAATTTTATGATGGTTGGCTTTATGACAGTTATATTATTTGGAATAAGTGAGGCAGCTGCTGCTAAGATTTAGTGAACGCAGAAATTTAAAATGTACAAACCACTAGGATAGCCCTAGGATCAAAGCAGTTAGAGCTTTTTCTTCATATGCTTCAAGATTTAGACTGAAGACTTCGAA